GTAGGCTTGTGCCAAGAATGGGCATGTACCAAGTCTACGGTCCGGCACTGGGAATTACGACAGAAACCTTCTGAAAAAATGAATCTACCCTGGTCACCATGACAATTTGATTGAGTTAGACCAGTTCTATATAACGAAAAGAAGCCCCAACCAAAAAAGAGGCCATTACTCCGATTTTTATATATTCAAGACTCCTTTTCAACTAGGAATTAATTGCTTTTGCTTTAAGTATAGTAAATTTATTAAAATCACTTGTTTAGGATTAGTGGTTCACATTTTGATTTTTGTCTGCCACGTAAGTTTATTACCTCAGATTAGGTCTCAACGAATGTTTAAATGCGGCATTCCTGAATTAAGAGGGTGAATTGATGGTTAATTTCCTACGATTACAGTCCGCTTTCTACCCATATTTTTGGCATATGTAGACTCTAGGCACCCCTAATCCTTAGCTTGTAATCTCGATATGAATGATCTTATTGTACATTCTACTTACTAGGCTTAATAATTAATTAATCCTCTTTTTATTAATCGCATAAATCAACTTTTTAAATATAAGAAATGTATAGAAGTTGTTTGACTTTGTTTTCGCAACTTGATCATATTGTCATGAAGACCTCGATGAACGCATCTTGTCCAGGCACCATAGAATGCATGATAATTGCCAGAGTCTGACCGTGGACATAATAAAAACTCTGACGCTTCGCCGGCATCGCCAGCGAGCCTTATCATTCTTAGCACGACACCAAAACTCGTCGAAGAGATAAGTGAAGTCAATCCTTTGGCCAATTGCCTGCCAAACAGTTGTGGTATCTCTCCTGTCCTGGGCTATTCATCTATCTTGTATCCTCGTATCACCACTTCAATATCACTACTTTCTACTTGTTTATCTAAACCTATTTGAGGTGTTCTTGTAAATATGATAACTACTAAAGCAGAGGAATTTGGACAAGAAGCGTCTAAGTCGCCTCGACAACACAGCCAAGTTGTGAAAACGAGGTCAGACCACGGTTATTATAATTTGTTATTATCTTTTCCAAATTTATCGGTTTATCTTCTCTGTTGATAAATTTTGCCAAGTGCAACTCATGGCTTTGATTTTTTCTATCTTCCATTATTAATCTCGGTGGCATTAAAACCATTAAAGCGGACCGAAATGTGTCAGAAGAATTCGTTTGGGCGGTCGCATTGTTCCGACATATGGAGTTGAGCATGTGTAGTCTTCACTTACGAATGGTCAGGATGCGATGTGAATTCGGGCTTTTCTTTTCTTTTATACTCCTTCCAGCCTCAGTAATATACCTTTTGAAGTAATTTTTTACATCACGGGCTTTCATCCGATGTCTCTGTGTCTATTATCATCATTATTGTTGCTTGTTGACAATGTCCCAGCTTCATTTCTTTCATTTTGTCAGTCGACATGATTCTCATGACATTGAAGACCCTATATTTTCTACAACCTTTACTTTTCAGATCGCCCACCTGCCAAGCGTCGGCGTCTTCGCGTAGACAGCGATGATGATGATGTGCCTCAAGAGGGCAATGTTTCTGCTGCTGATTATGTGGACCCACGTGATTCCGAGAATTCTCCACGCCGCTCTCGATCCAAACCCCTTGAATTTCTTGACAACGCGGATGACACAAAGGCCCCTCTAAGCCGGTTGGGTCGAGCAAATGTTGACTTGGAGGATGATGCTGACGAGGAGGGCTCTGGTCAAGCGGGTCCTTTGTCAGGTTCTACTGATCGGCATATTCGGCAGAAGGCCAATCGTCGAGAGGTGGCCATCGCTTTGATGTCAGCATCGCGCTTTGCGCGAAAGTCGTCTGCCCCAGCCGGCGTGTCAAAACAACGTGTCGGTGGGTTTTTTATCTTTCATGTATCACCGTGGCCCCTCCTTTTATTTTGTTTCTAAGCGTTTGGCTTAAAGTCTAACTATCCATTTTGATGTGTTTCGCTTTACACCTTTGACCGGTGACTTGGTGTGTTCTTGTCGCTTCATGAATATATCCACTCGATAGGAGATGAGTTGGTTCGCTCAAATTGTAGCCCGCTTCATGAGTGAGAAGAGTTATGCCCAATTTTAGGGCACCTTGTCTACTCCAAGTATAAACACTCATTCCTCATTTCACCTCTTCACTGTCCACTGCTGGTCTAGTTTAACTGATGCAATCATCGGAGAGGGTGCGGTATCCATTTGAAGCTTGGCAACGGTTAGGATTTCACTTGTCATCTTGTAGTCTTTTTTTCGACGTTTTCACGGCTTTTTTTCTTGGTACCTTCCACTTGGATGCAGACATGATGCGTTTTGAATGTAGATAATGATTGCATCGTTCTGTGAGCACTTTTAAAGCGTCTCTTGCTGATACAGTACCAAGTTGCCAAAAAAAGTGGGGCCAGACCTAATGCAAATAAATTGTCGCTATTGTTTAAATTAAGATCAAGTCTCGCATGCTACAATGCACTGTTTGGTTTTCAATCCTGGAGCTGCTGTCTAAAATAGCATTAATTTTTCCAAAATCATATCATTATACCTTTCATTTGTGTCAAACTTTCAATTTCATTTTTTCAGCGAATCAGGCCAAGCGCGATCATGTTGACGTTTCGGATTCTGGCGCTTCTTCGGCCGATGAGGCGTCAGAGGGAGACAGTGGATCAAGCGGATCAGACAATCAAGACAGAGTAGGGCGAGAGGATGGCTATGCCAGTAGCATCATAGCCACAGACAATGAAAGCGAAGAGGATGCTGCGCCTCGGCAAAGCAAAAAACAACGTGCTATGCTCGAGCAACTTGATCAAGCAGATGATGCCAGAGGTGGGTCGCCTCCACTCTACGTGTCTGCTTTTAAAGCATAATAATTTTATAAAATTTTTCCTTATTTTGCACACGATAGATGATGCAGGTCCCATATTTTGCTAAATATAGCCGTCGTGACTGGAAGAAAGAGCTTTGCTTTAATAATAATAAAAATATTTATTTATTGCATACCAAGGTTTCTAAAGATTCGAGGCTGATTGACGGCCTTTGTTTGGCCCGAGGTGGGTCAAACAAAGGCCTTATACTAATCTATTTTATTCTATTCTATTCTATTCTATTCTATTGTATTCTATTTTATTCTATTCTATTGTATTCTATTCTATTCTATACTAAGCTATTCTAAGCTATTTTATTCTATTCTATTCTATTTTAATTTATTCTATTTTATTATATTATATTCTATTCTATACTAAGCTATTCTAAGCTATTTTATTCTATTCTATTCTATTCTAATTTATTCTATTCTATTCTATTTTATTCTATTCTATACTAAGCTATTCGATTCTATTCTATTCTATTGTATTCTATTCTATGCCACATTCTCGGCAATTCCGTTTAAAATGCTTGCTTCTCCACTGATTGAGTAGCTTTTTATATCTTTTTTTATGAGGAGAGCTATTCTTATCACTAAAAAAAACACCGAGAACTCCATCACATATTCTATCCTCTATGATTTCCACTTCGTGTAATCGAAACTCAATTGTCTGCCTCAATTCGCTTAGCTCATAGTCACATTTACTCATGGTTCCTTACCCTCGTGTGTCGTGTCTCTTAACCGAAACTGATCCTTTATCTCGACATTTCGAACAGGTTCCATCATCTCTTCCGACCAATCATCTTCATTTCTAATCAGCTAGTTCCGCTCACTCGATGTGGCCACCATGTCTGTCTAACTTTGGCAGACTCCTATCCAAAGCCTCCACGGAGATCTTGATTCTCTGGCTTGAAATATCTTCCGAATGTCCGCCGGCAAAACACATTATGCAGATAACCTGGCCAACGAATTAATTTTGGAAAAAGTCACTTCTTCATGCTTCTACAGGTTTTGTTTTACTATTTCACACTTACAAAGACCAAGTTTTCAGTAACTCGTCGCTATGCTTTTCTCTGCCAACAGCCTATCTGGTGCTTATGGATATAAGACTTCTCTTCGTCTTGGCGCCTGATTTTCGATAAAACTTCAGCCAAGCTTCTATTGAGTGCTTGTTGACTCGAAACTATACTTTTTGTCTAGCCTGCAAAGTGGAAAAGTTAGAAAAAAGTGAAAATTGAGGGATTGACGACCCATGTTTAATTATTTGATGGATGCGAAATAAGTAGACATTTAATGTCGATTTCTACTCAGATGCCAACTCTCTGACAAATTAGTCAGTTGCTCTGTGGTAAACAGAGAGGAGTTTTTCTGAGAAGATTACCA